GTTCGGGCATTCTGAAATTAGGTCTCTTTGAATACAACCATAAGTTATCCGTAAATAACGAATTGGCGTCGTCTTGACCCGTTCAAACTCTACACAGCGCGTTCGGTTTTCCAAAATAATCAGTGTCAGGACATCCCCTGAGAGTTCTTGACACACTGGCAATAACAGTCGAAAGCAGACGCTGCACCACCAGGTCGGACCTAATGGCATCACTTTATGAGTGTCAGGTGCGTGAGATGCGGAGACTCCAGACTCCAGACTCCAGTATGGAGCAACTGCTGCATGTCGTGGCGTAGCAAGCAGAGAGCGGTGAATCGGATGCCGCCAACTCCAATCCCTTGCCACAACGCGAGGTCAGGAACGTCAAACCACCAGCCGGCACATATGACACATCGAATGTGGAATACAGAGCGCAGGTTGTATGTTCCGGCGGCCCAGCTGGTTAGCGTGCCTGCCCCACGGTTTACCCACCCGTGGCGGGGTTGGTTCAAGCTGGATTAAGCGCTCGCTGTTTGCCATTGCCTGCCGCCGGCCGCAGGGCGGTGGCAGCGGCCGCGCTAAAAATCAGTTGTCGTATGGCGGGGCGATCCGGCAATACGGAGCGCTAAATTTTCGCCACCAAATTCTACCGTTAACAGAGAATTACAGGGTTGGGTGGTAGTGGTCAGGGTTCACACAACAAGCACTGCTTAGCGTGAGCTCTGGTCCCAGAAATTCATCCATTCAAAAAGTTCGGGTTAAATCTTTTACAAAAAACCCACGACTGGTTGAACTTTCAAAACCTGATCCATGATTCTCATCCAGCTGTTGTTACTCATATGAGACTGTCCTGTGGTGCCCAGGTGAAAAAAGCCATAGATAATATGCACGGTAACAGGTGGCGCCGTGCCCTGGCGTGAGGTGTGAGGGAGTGCCCGGACAAAAAGTCGCATGGAAAAAGTGAACAGGAAAAAAGCGAACGGAAAAAGTCGAAGGAGACAAAAGCCGACAGGGATAGAAGCCGAATCTCAAGGAAGGCCACGGACAATAAGCCGAAAAGGCTAAAAGTAGTGTTGGACAAAAGTAAAAGGACAATATGTTAAAAGGGACAAAGGTCGAAGGACAAAATGTTAAAGGGGACAAAGGTTGAAAGGGAAAAACGTCGAACAGGAGAAACGCCAAAAGGCGAAAAGTCGACAGGGATACGAAAATAAATCGGAGCAAGTCAAAAGGCAGAGCATCAGAGCAGAGATAAACATCAACTCAGATAAGTAAAAACGCTCGTAGTGAGAATGATTTTTAAAAAAAAGTCATCAGCATTTGACGTCTGGTGTGAGCGGTGGTGAAAGTTGTCGCCACAGGGAGAGACAAATGGAAATGGATGGGACTGGATGGAATTATTCGGGAGCGGGCAAGACCATACGGGCGAGAAGGGAAGTCTACCATATCACATCCGAAGAGATCGGGCGAGAACAGATGAGATGGGACTCGATCGGATGGAAACGAACGAGACCAGACGGGACCAGATGAGACGGGATAGGGCCGCACCGAACGGCAGCAAACGGTCCCACCCGTGACCAGACGCGGTCAAACAGCATCGCACGTCACCGGACGTGGTCGAAAGGAATCGGACGGGACAAAACGGTACCAACTGAGATCAGATGGATCCGCGCAAGATCGGGCGGAGCCGGAAGAAACAGGACAAAATGAGACGGAAATGAACGGAACATGATGTTATTGGGCGGGGCAGGGCGGAACAAGACAAAGTTTAAGGTGGCCTTCGTGAAAAGCTGCTACCTTGATACATTAAACACTTGAACACGACGCCAAACTACGACGCCGAAACATCTAATCGACAAATGTTAAGGTAGCCAGCCTAAATACGGCGTTAAAGAAAAGCATTAATTGTTCGCGGCATCAACTGGCTCTTGTCGGCTGCACGGCGGCGCGCGGTTTCAGTATTAGCGGTGTTTTAAAATGCGGGGAAGAGGGGAAGCGGGGTGCGCAAGGCGGTAGCAGGACAGCGGACGGTGCATATTATGCGACTGTGTCGGCAGTGAACCAGCGTGGGCATCATGAAACTTTCAAAACGGGCGTATTGTAGACTCGTTCCAGACACAAAACTGCAGTGCTTGGTATCGAGGACCAGCTCGGGCGAGGAAGGCCTTGAGCTTCTAATTATTCCGGTTATTGAAGGTGCTCCAGCACCCATTCCTAACTGAACAGGAAACTACACCTATGTGATCAGCATTGTGATTTTAGAGTTTCTATGCCAAGTTGTCGACCCCCAATATACCAGGACATAATGTTAAACGACATAAAGAGGTAAACATTGATAATAAGATCAAAACTTGGCGTTGCGAGCTTTGCTTCTGATCACAAGTGTGTCATCCTAAGCATTCCGCATATACCTCGTGGACTTCCTGTCGGCTTTTGTGTCTTTTAACTTGCCGTCTTTTCACTGCTTTATTTTGACGTATCCCTGCCGACTTAATTCCCTGTTCACTTTAAGCCCTTGGACATTTTCAATCCAACTCGTTTTCATTCTATTTTTGTCCCTGTCAGCGTTGCGATCTTGACATTTTTCGGATTCGACTTTTATGCCGGTAGAACCTGTCGACTTCTTGTCCTTCGACTTTTCCCCTATTCGATTTTGTCCCTGTCGACTTCTTGTCGTCCGACTTTTTCCAGATTCGACTTTTCGTCCGCACACCCACCCTTACGAGTTCCTCCGGGTACCAAAGGAAGCAGGCAGGATTACCAGGCACACGAGCAATCCAGCTGGCGCTCGTAAAAACGTCCATAAACTGGTCCAAAAACCCAACGAACCCGTGAGGGGCTCGGTATTCGCCGCAAGCTGGCTGATGCCGACCGCAGTTTTGCATGTCCATCTAGAGCTGGTGGCCCGCCAAGCCGGATGTCAATCGATCAAACCGTATGCGGTGTCCAAAACGAGGCTTCTCAGCAGTAACTTCTGCAAAAGCATAGCAATCTCACTGGCTTTAAAACACCGCGGAATTTCTCTGAGGTATTCGAATGATTGTGCCTGTGTGTCGCCAACGGAGTCGCAATGAACCCAAACAAGTTTAAGTTCTGCCGCTGGAGACCAAAATTAAGAGGTACCACCTGAGCTGGGAGCTGGACAGACCCATCAGCGACAAGATTTCGGCTGTCAGGAACTCCTCCATGGCTGTACCAACTTCCATCGCCGACAACAGACTCTAGCCCGGTCTGGCGAGCCAGCTCGCAAAGTTATTGGCGACGCCAGGCCTTATGCAACTCTTCCCGAAACTTCTCCATCCAGCACGGAAAGGTATTCTGGGACGAGAAACTGAAAACCGTCCCACGGACAAAACAGAGCATGCGCGCCATGACAGATAAAACTCGCGTTCTTCGACCACTCCTGGCGGAGATGGACTCGCGTTCTTCGGCCGCTCCTGGCGGAGATGGACTCTCGTTCTTCGACCACTCCTGGCGAAGATGGACTCTCGTTCTTCGACCACTCCTGGCGCAGATGGACTGGCGTTCTTCGACCACTCCCGGTCTACCGCAGCAGACGCAGGCTGGTCAAGGACCGGGATAGAGTTCGTGGTCCTCCAGGAGCACTGCAGCTGCAAAAGCGATCACACACCATTCGACAGCAACGGAGGCTGGAAACCGGCCATCTGTGGGAGCCGCACATGTGCGCACCACAGAAGCTAACTATGCGGGTGTGGAAACCGAGCCCTTGGCTGTAGTCAGGCCGCCGTTGACTTCTCCCGATTGTCTCTTTGCCAAAGCATATAAATGGATATCTCGTGAGACATCTGAGGATGTAAGGAGGATGCATCTGTTTGTACGGCGGAGTCGTGACCGATGTGCTTTTGCGTGTTTCAGTGCGCTCGTTTTTTGGATCGCTGTCTTCATCCTCATGACCGATTAGCTGTCCACTTATCTGCTGACGACGGGTAGTAATAGCCCGGAGTTTATTCGGGATTTATCAAACATACAGTCAAACTCAACGTCCTCTTTGCGAACTCCGGTTTCCTCACACCGTGGCCCATCGGCCACTGGTGAAAGTCCTATGAAAGAGGGTTTTTGGTTATATCCCGAATCCAGGACGTTTCCAGCTGACCCGTCTCTGCGTAGTCGACGACCTTTTTATGTACACTGTGGGGGAGATAGGCATCAGACTGCCAAAAAGGTTGAAAGGTTGGTATAACGCTTAGTATTTGTTAGTCACACTTGGCCTTTGCTGTGCGAGGCCGTTGACCGAGTGAACTTTATTTGTTTAGCTCATGCACCCCCATCTGGATCCACCCCTGTCGCCATATCGAAGCAGAACCCGGGCATTACTCGCTGCATCACATGACTGCTCTTCATGGTCTTTTCTACAAATGTGTTAGAGTGAGCTGTGCCGAGAAATCCATGCAATCGATTTGCCTGCATTGCATTGTCTGTAACCTATCATTGACCAGGGCTCAACATGCCGTCGTTTAACCAGTCTCGGTATGCACGTTACGAATATACAGCGCTGCGCATGTCTGGTGCGTCACCATTCGTGATTGCCGTTTACAGGTGTTGGGTAGGTGATATAAAATAGTTCCGTTGTGACTGCCGACCAGCATGGATTTTCAGCTATTGACCTCGTTTGGCCTACAATATTTGATCTGCAGCTAACGTGATCCAGAAGTGGACACATAATCACTCAGGCGCTGTACACTGAACCCTCAGTGATTTCGACGTTACTGTAAGCACTGACAGTAACGGGGCAGATTCCATCCCCACCGCTCCTGGACTGACATTCTGACAGATCATTCAGCCTTCAGGGCGCGTGTTTAGGTCTGCTTAAGCTAAGCCACGCGCGTCTTGAACATCGCAAAACGCGCACGATGCCAAATGCATGGCGGTGGGACTTCGCCCAGATGCTGATCGGGCCGAGAACAGGGCGTAGAACTACATCATGGTCTGTGAAAAGACCGCAGAGTGCGCTCATTTTATGTTGCGTCCACCAGCAGAACTGTTGATGCAGGCCAACTTACTTTGGGCCGCCGCTGTGACGCGAAATGCTCCAGTCCGCCGGCGTCAACGGCCTCGGATTGGCAGCACGCTAGTTCGCACTGTGACGCCGTCAGGCTCTGTGATTGCCACAAGCTCCACCGCGACGTCGCCACCAGCTGCCGTCACCGCCGCTCGCTACTCCCTCCTATGAACTGGCAACGCAATATTTACTACAGCGCCGCGGCGGCATGCCGGATTGATCGAGAAGGCGTGTCGGTCAGCTGGCCAATCAGCGACCCTCGTCGGCCAACGTCACTGCCGGTGTATATTTAACTGGTGCTGGTGTCCTTGATGGCCGACAGTTCACAACGTCGTCACCGCGGCTGCCGGGGGAGGGGGAGGGGCAGCTAGTGGAGCACGTGAGCCGAGCGCTGTCGCAGAAACAGGCTGACTGGGAGCAAAAAGGGGTAGGGAGTGAAACTGACCCAGGTAGTTGAAGGATGAGACCCTGACGCCAGACAGGGCAGGCGATTGCATCCTTTTGCTCACACTGATTTGTTTTCTAACACATTCGAAAGTCATGCAATGATTGTGTCAGAAACGAGACTTCAAGTACCAGAGGTGGCGAGCGCTGGTGTTTTCGGCCGTATTTGAGGACACAACTCTTACGGGCGGCTTTTTTTGGACATGCATGAAATATTTAGAAGATCATACTGTATTGAAATGAATCTCACCCTCCGCTTTTCTGCCAAATCTTATCAAATCAAATCAAAAGTCATAGCATGTTCACTACAGAAGGAACTGGCGTCCGTCAAAAAGTTTCAATCTCTCGAGGCTTCCTTTTAAGGTCAAACTAAGGCTCAAATGACGGAGAACTTTGGCGATTCGTTCAGATTTTTTTCAGTGACGAGTTCCGATTTCTCCGAAAACACGCTATGTGATCGATTGAGGCACGAGAATATGGAAAAAGACGTTTACTTTGCAATATCATGGGACCTTTTTCGTTGATGGGTGACGCTCAGAGGACAGGACAATGCGACGAACAAAGGTTCTTGCCCTTGCTAATATTCTGGTACCGGAAAAGCTAAAGCTTGCCGATAATTTTTGGTGATCAGGAGATTCCCGTCCTTTGACATTGCTTTTGGCCTTGAATGTCACATGATGTTGTAAATTAAACTTCATTTTCGATGTTCTCGTGTCATAATTGGCCACGTGACACGTTCTCAGGGAAATCTGAACTCGTCGCTGAATAAATCGCCCAATAAATTGTAGCAATTACCCGTAATTGAAGCCTTGGGTTGACTTCGAGAGCAAACCGCCTTGCAAAAACGGCACCGCTGCTCACGCCAGCCGTGGTTTAAAAGTGGCAGGCTGATTATTAATGCGTAACATCTACTGACTCTGCATGGTTATGCATACAAGTGTCAATAGCAGGTGGCACTTCAGGCACACGTTACAAACACAAAGCGGCAGGCACATCGCAGACACCTAGCAGCAGCAACCATAAGCCATTGTATATGAGCTGTGATGTGTGAGCTCGGGGCAGTGAGCTTTGTTCGGTCCGCTCTCCTCCGGCACCCGCACTCCGAACCACGCATGGATTGGTACAAGCTTACCAATGGAAAACTCCCGTAGATCCAGTGTGACCACAAGGCGTTCTCACTTGCTTTTCTGCATCCGTCACGCAGAACTCCTCTTTTTAAGCTGTTGAATGGCATTGATTGCTCGATTCTTTTTTACCGTCGAATGCAAGATAATTGTATATGGCGGCGGCGCAGTATACCTAAAAGTTCTCATTTTTAATCTATGAAACTCGTATTACTTATTGTCCATGTTAACGACACAAAACATTTTGCACATTCCAATGAGCTGGTCGTATACTTTTACAAGAAAATATATTGCATCAAGCTTACAAGTTTTCATAGCCTCGTCAATTGCTGCTTCCAAGACCAACACTTTGACATTTGAGTCCTGATATGTCACTTGAGTAGCATCTCGACTCACGCATCGTGTACAGTTTTCTGCGTTTTACCATTCATCGCAGGGTTCGGTCCCCCGTGATGCCTCGCCTTGCCGGGATGACAGGCAGACGTCACCACGTAGCCTCAGTAGCATTGTAAAGCCCCAGTGCCACACCACCATTCACTGTAACCCCAGCGGCCTAAAAAGCACAACTCCTTGCTGTTTTCGTTGTGCTTAAGTTCACTTTGTACGTAAGCTTACAAGTGTCTGGAAGAAATGGACGTGCACCATGCATATGAGCACACGTGCGTCATATACGCCAGCATGCCAACCCATGTCAAACCCTCCACAATGCACACAGGGCGGCAGCTCCCCAATTCGAAAATAAGGATCTGAGAATAAAATAGCCGAAATTCGGGGACTTTTATGAGGGGGGGGGGGGAGAGCAAGGTCCAAGGGGCACCACAGTGAAGCGTTAACTCTCCCTTAACGAAATCCTGGAGCATGTTGTGGCTTGCACTATAGCTGTGGAGCAACCATGGTTCCACCTGTGCCCTGCGCGGCACAGGACTGACTGCATCGATGCGCTCGAATTTCTCGTTCGTTCACAGTTGTCTGCAATGCGCTTTTTTGTGAACTGTTTGTTTCCCACTGGTCTCATCCTGTGCTAGTGAAATGGACGCAAATGGTTAATTACCTAGATCGTCACACTTAAGGCGCATACAAATAGCTTCTTGTACTTGACACATATTCCATTGTTGTAAGTAATTCTGAGTGCAAAATTTTAAGTTATCTTAAGTAATTGCTAGAGCATTGGTGACCAGGTTTCATGTTGTGAGGCCCCGCCCATTATTGCTGGGAGGGGGGGAGGACAGCCCAGTGTTACGGGGGCTAGCCCAACATTGGGGGAGGGGCAGTTCAACATTGGGATGAGGAGCCTCCCCCCCCCCCTCCCACCCCCTCAAAGAGATACAAAGTTCACCCTTGGCTGTTGGCGAGAAGTACAAAAATGATCGGATTCTGGTTTTCATTGTGCTGGTCAACCCCCCGCAAAACATCAATAAATGCTGACGGACTGGCCGCAGCAGCAATTTGCGAAGAAACGGCGTTTAATTTCAACTACATTTGCTCACGCTCAAAGCGTGCAGCCACGCTTGCACGATGCCATTGTTGGAAGCATTATTTGTCGGCAATTTAAATTGTTCATCGGCCAATATGGTCGTTTTCGTTCTAACCACAACATGGCGGCGAATTGCTATGGGCGCCGGGTCGGTCTGTGAGGCGATGACCAGAATACGACGGGTCGAGGCCCAAGATGGCACGCCGAAAAACACTTAAATTTAAGGCTGTAAAAGGGTAATGATACCATATTTCATAATTGACGCAGACTGCACGGCCGTGTACATTTTGATGGTCCGGGTTCTGGAGCACCAGCTGCCAGCAAAACATGCCTGTGCGAATGTACGAAATGTATATGTACGGAACCAGCATGCATGCCCAGGAATCTCAATCTTGTGTACGGCAAGGGTGATGAGTTAAGTGTTTTGTTGTTAGAAATGTCGTACTGTTGTACCGTTTTTAAATGCCGTACTGTTTTTTGTTGTATAAATGTTTTTGGGTGAGAAATGTCGTACTGTGACTGTGCTGGCACTGTACTGGCTTGTTTTGTGTCCGTTGAACCGGCCTGTTCTATGGGCACGTTTCATAACTGTGTTTGATGCTGATGTGCGCCATGGTGGAGCCAATGGGGCCTTCACGGATTCCCTTCGACCTGTGGTCTCGTAGCGGCCGAACAGGCTTCTTTTAGTGCCCTGGTGAGCGACACTGCGCAGGGATGCACTGTCCAGCACGCCCATGGAGACCTGAAAACGCTGCTTCTGCACTGTGAAGCATGAAGTGAATAAGAAGGACGCTATTCAATTACCTCACGCTTTTCGAAAGCCCTCGGCTCACCGTGAGCTTTCCAGAGAATCCCGACCGACGCACATTACCATTGCCCGACATTTGAAAATTAGCGCACATATTGCTTGGTCGGTAAAGCATGGACAAAAAAAGTTTTGGGCCGCCTTTCACACTGGATTCACAATCATCTCAACGCGTCGTAAGTCTCAAGTGCGTTGTATGTGCCCATCCAGTGTATTAAATATATGTGCCTGCTAATTACTATCTGAAATGCGCTGAAATGTCAGCTGAAGTACAGTCAAATGCAATTGCTGTCACAGCCTTTTTTATTACAGGCCATATCCGTTTACACACGAAACTACTTGAGCTATACACAAATTCGCGTTTTTACACCATCGTGAACCGTGCTGTTGATCTCCACCTGTCCTACTGCGGACCCGCATGATCTCCACATGTCCTACTGCACGCCCTACGTGATCTCAACCCACCCTAATGGAGACTCCACACCATATCCTCCCGTATCATTGTAGGCTACGCGCGGTGTCTTCCTGTCCTGCTGCAGACCCCACGTGACCTCCATCTGTCCCACCGCAGAACCGGCGCCAACTCCACCTGTCCTGCTGCAGATCCCACGCAAATTCAACCCGTTCCGTTGCGGATCCAACGACGTTCTGCCTGCCGTCCTACCTGCTATCCTGCGCCTAGCTTGTTTTCATGCTATCTTATATTTCATGCTGCAAATATCACGCCAGATCACCTGTCACACTGCAGATCCCAGGACATCTCCAAATGACTTAATGCAGTCGTCGTCTTTTATTCTCCAGCTCGCCAGTTCGTGTGCCGCCTCGGCCCCCACCGCCGCCAATAGCAACTATCGTGATTCCCCATCTCGCGCCCAGAATTATGCGTTCCCCCAAGCTCTAGCTCACAATTGTCAGCTCGTTCCCGCTTCCCAGCTCTCCAGTTGTCAAGCCGCCCTCGTCCAACAGTTGCCGATTCCCAGACTGTCCTTGCTTCTCAGCTCCGCGGTTGTCAGGCAGCATCCGCTTCGCCATCTGAGTTCTTCTCCGGCGGCAAGGGGAGTCCCTTCAGCCGATCGGCAAACACCTCCAGTGGCACGCCCTGGCCCTCTTCCGGGCAGGTCCAGTTGCACATCCGCTCGAGGTCCGCGGCCGCTGTCGATCATACCAGCACAGCACCGGGGTCAGTCGACGTGCAGCTACGTCCAACCACACCGTGCGCTGGGGCGGACGCACAGAAGCGTGCTGGCTGACGACTTCCTCGGCAAAGACTTTTGTTGCAAATGGCTTCTGGCCCCTCTGTTGAACTCGT